GCTAATATAATGAGCATTAGAATGAAGTTTCTTTATTAACTATTTAATGCTCCTATAATTTTTATTAGGGTAAAAAAAAACAGGAGGACATGATGATATTTACTATTTTTACACACCAGAGGATTCAAAAAAAATTGTGAATCTAAATTATGCGGGTTAGATAATGTACAAATGGTTAACATTGTTTGTGTCATATCAGTCCGTCAGAAAAACAGAGAACCGAGAACCGTGGATTTTCACTGGTATTGGTACTGTATACAAAAATGTTGGTACCATGACAACACTTTTGCATATTCACGTGTAAATAAAAGAGAATGAATGAATGAATGATGCATTTATATAGCGCTTTATTGTGTATTGTTGTACACCCAAAGCGCTTTACAATGTTGGGGATTATTAGGAGGCCATGATTGACAAGGGCCAGGGGGGCAATTTGGCCAGGACACCAGGGTTACACCCCTACTCTTTACGAGAAGTGCCATGGGATTTTTAATGACCACAGAGAGTCAGGACCTCGGTTTAACGTCTCATCCGAAAGACGGTGCTTTTTGACAGTATAGTGTCCCCATCACTATACTGGGGCGTTTGGACCCACGCAGACCACAGGGTAAGCACCCCCTGCTGGCCTCACTAACACCTCTTCCAACAGCAACCTAGTTTTCACAGGAGGTCACCCATCCAGGTACTGACCAGGCTCAACCCTGCTTAGCTTCAGTGGGCAACCAGTCTTGGGCTGCAGGGTGATATGGCTGTGGCCATAAGTAATTATGTACATTGTTAATTTTTTTTAATGCAGCTTATAATTTGTTCACAAAACATTCTTCTATACGCTTATTTTTTTTGTCCTGTAAATAATTTTTTTTTACACATTTAAACAAATTGTTCTATACATTACTGAAAGCACTTTTTACAACTATTTACAACATAGCTTAGGTTTAACATCAGAAAAAAAACATTTTGAGCCCAGCCCTGCCTCCATGTATTCTGGGGTCTTTGGGAGGTGAATCTCTTGGCGAATGGCCAGCACCTCCTCAGCGACTCAGAGAACAATGCGGTGACAGTGGAACGAGGCATGTCAAACACTCTGGAGAGTGGAGACCACTCTGTATGATGTACCACTGTCCAGACAGAAAAGAAACACCAGGGTCTGGATTGTGGCACCCCATCACTGTTGCCATTCACTTCTCAGAAGATCCAGCAGCACTGTCAGGGCCTCCCTGCTCAGCCAAAAATCAGGCCGTGTGTCACAGTCATTAAAAAAACCTGCCCAGCACTGGCACATTCAGCTTTATCCTGCAATACAGGGGTCTGGTCTGATTTAGGGAAATGAGGAAAGCACTAATTGTGTAGAGCTATCACAAAGTAATTGGTGGAAGAAATATGAGTTACTTTATTAAAGTACTTTCAGTATAACTACTAATAGTGCATTCAGGAAAAAATGCATGCATTTAAAACCTTAAGTATTATCCTTAATACTGTAATGTACTTAAGGTATGAAGAGTAAAATAAAAGTAGCCTAAATATTCTGCAGAAAAAAATATACTTAAGGTATTGAGAGTAAAAGTAAAGGTATACAGTATTGTTCTGAAAAAATAATTTGTTAGGATGGTTTTGCATTAATATTTCTGCTGCACTAATGTGTATGTTGCATTTTACTTTTGAATATGTTCAAGGTTATTAAATTTAAAGTTGCCTACTAAATATACTGTTGGGTAGTTTAATCTACAACAATGCATAATGTTGTAAAAAACATATTTTTATAGTGTTGCTGTCTGTGAGAAAAAAAGAAAACTTAGTATTTCATATTTGTTCGAGAATACTTAATGAATGTACTTCCTTACAGTCCACCTCTGATTATTTTGAAAATGAAAGTATCAACATTTTGTCAGAATATTAACACATTTTTGCTAACTATATCAAAGGCTGCATCTGAAGGACTCAGACCGGCCATACAGAGCACTGTTCATCTGTGACAGCTGCCACTGAACATTGAGCTGTACAATGCTCTATTTTTTTTATTCACAGTTTTATTTTTGCTAACCTGTCTACATATGATGACCATGCTCAAGACAATAAACTATATAAAATCGCACCTTTGTAAAATATCAGCGGCCTCGGTCTTGGCTAAGCCTGAGGTACATCACCGTCTCCTCCATTATGACGTAAAACATAAAAACAAAAATGAGCAAGTCTGGCTCCACCTGTCCTGGCAGGATTGTCCTCTCTTCAGCTGTCCTCTTGCACCGTTGCTATGCGACAGAGCGCTAATCAGGAACCTCTGGTGTCACAATTAGGAAATCCTGCGAAGGCGGAGCGTCCTTCATGCACTTCGGAGGTCTGGCCTTCGAAGCCCGTGGCCTTTGAAGTGTGCGCACTTAACTTTGGGACACAGCTATATGCCTTGTCCAAATACCCACACTTGCGGTCTTTGCACTTGACCACTTGACTACTTATATGATGTATTTCCTGTATTTGGCCCAAGTGTTCAAGTGAGCATGAAGACCACAAGTGTGTGTTGAACTTTTCATTACCTGATGGGACACACTTATAGTATTATAAAAATATAGTGTTGTAAAAAAAAAACATAGCGTTATTTTTATTTTTATTTTAAATACTTTGCATTTTAAAATCGCTTTGGCATTTTTAAGACCTGGGACAGTCTTGCGCACTTACTTCTTGTCGCGTGCACGCACTCTCAAGTGGCCCAGACCGCAAGTGCGGGTATTTGGACAAGGCAATAGTTTCTGGCATCACTCTCGTCCCGTGACCAACCCCCACCCATCCCCGCCCCGGCTTCAGGTAAGATTTCACTTGAGCTAAATTAGAAAAAAAATACAATTTTGTTAATTCTGTGACACTTCAAAGGTAACGTTACTAGTAGGCACTCGGTGTGCTACAGCACAGGTGAAGAGACGGGCTCATTTCCAACTAACGTTAACATGTTTAGCTAACGGTCACGGTAACTTAGCGATTTTTAATATTATTGTTAGCGCCTTAATGTATTTCCAGCCATTTCTCGGAGGGAAAATGTTATTAAAGCGAAGTCCTAACTGCTTTTCCGCCGCGTTTTCACTGTTGTAGGCTAACGTTACCAGAAAGAATCCGTTTCTACGGTGAGCTATTGTTTCTGTTGCTTTTCAACTACAAAACTGAGTTTAAATTCATTATTGAATAATAATTGTTTGAGACTGTAAATTATTAATGTACTTGTTTAACTCTAGATGTTTATTTGTGTAAATGATGTGTGTGCGTTGAGCTCTGCACGAGCTGGGAGCAGAGTTGCCATGGAAACGTCTCTCGCTGCTGTTTTCACTGCTTTCAGGTAAGTTTAGTCCCTAAAATCACACAAATATTACATACAAACGTTCCTGACACGTTTCTTACTTGTAATTGACATCTTTCTATTGAATATTTATTTTATAGAAATGGTTTAGCCTCATCGCAACCGTTTTCAGACGAGGTAAGGTTAGGCTAACTCTGTAGACTGAGCTCTTGTTTACGAAACTTTGGGCTTTTAATCAAATCTTCATGTGTATATGAGATGTTTTGATAGATCTGTAAAGGTTTTGCTGGCGATTTGTCAATGGGTTATTGGAAATAGGATAATGTACTTAACCTAAACATATACACTGTACTGGGAACCGATGACGTCACTTACATGGAGAGTGTAATCGGCTGAAAACAAGTTTAAACTCGTTTTGATCTTTCATGGTAAACAAATATTGATAAAAACTGTTCTGTGATTTCAGGAGGACAGAAAGAAACTCTACAGAACAGATGGGAAGCGCCAAGATTTCAACATTTCTGAAGGAGCTGCTGACGGAGACATAGAAAATACAGGTGAACTGAAGAAGCTCATGAAATGACTTAATATGTTTTTTTTCACAATATATTTTACCTATATCCCCATGCACCTGTTATTTCCTTTGGCAAAATTTATATATATATATATGTATATGTCTATCAGGGCTCCAGACTGCGACCAAATAGTTGCATTTTGCGACCATTTTTTCCTGCTGGTGTCCAACAGCTTTTTAGAGGTCGCACTGGTGCGACTGAAAAATTTAAATATAATTTTATTTAAAATTAATGCGCAGGCGATTACGTTAAAGGCTCATACAATCACTCTCCGTTTTCACTTCCCCTCCCCCGCCATTCTATCATGCTCTCAGGTACACATGCTCGCTCAAGGTTATCAAAGCACGCTAAAACGCTTGTCTCACTGACTGTCATTTATTAGAGCTCATGATGAAGCGGTCTATTACCTCATATTTTAGCAAAAACGCCTCAACGTCTAAAGACAGTATCTCAGCTGAAGGAGAGACGGCAGATCCAGACAAAGAACAAGAAAAGGAGCAGGCGAGTGAAGGGCAAACTCCTGCAGCTAAAAAGAAATGTGTTAAATTCCGTACACAATGGCTGTGAGAATTTGAATGGCTAAGGTACAAAAAAGAGAGTAATGAAATGTATTGTGTATATTGTACACAGTGTGGAGCTAGCGCAGGAAACACAAAATTTGCAAAAGGGTGTTCAAACTTCAAACATGAATCTATAAAGCTCCACACTGAGAGCATAAAACATAGACTTTGCAGAGATGCCTGTATGGCACGAAGCACAGGCCCTCTCGCCGCCGGCTTTAAGCGACGAGGCTGCGAGTCGAGCCTCCGAGATGACTGAACTTTTGGCAAAGTTCAACACGGCTTATCATATCGCAAAAAGCGAGATGCCCTTCAAAAAGTTTAGGTCCGAGATAATTCTTCAAAAGAAAAACAGAATTTCCATCAATCCAACGTACGCAAATAAGGAGTATTGAAATAGTACACTTACCAGTATACTACTAGTACACTGATATTTGTATACTTACTACATAAAGTATACTTAAAAGTATACTTGAACTTTACTTAAGTATACTTGCTAAAATAAACTTGAAGTATACTACTTTTTGGTAAGGGAAAACGTGAGCGTACAAGTTTCTTTGCCTTTTAGTTTTCACTCATTTTATCAGCTGCTAGGTGAAATTCGCACATCTGTTCATTTAGAAAAGTAATAGGAAACCTTTCCTGAACAATTATTCAATTATGAGGTATTATTCATGTCTGTAGCACAAACAGAACAGGATGAGTTATGCTTCACAACGGTTAGGGTTAGGGGTTTGTTCAGATATCTAAACTTATTATGAGCAGTGGTAAGAGTAATGCTTGCCATAACAAACATTATTAAAGGGATAGTTCCCCCAAAAATGAAAATTCGCCCAAAGACATTTGGACATAGTGTTGTATTAGAGGTAAAAAATTATATAAATACTGTTCGGTTTCTGGCACAAACCGATCGTTTCGTGTCTTAGGACATCAGTGTGTCGTCATGAGCCGCAGGGTTTAATTTGGATTTGTCTGTGCATGTTTTTTTTATTCTCATAGATTTTGTTACCATTGCCATGCATTATACGACTGATAGACTGCAACGGTTGGACTTAAAAATCATCATATGTGTTCTACTGAAGATACAAAGTCACCTACATCTTGGATGCCCTGGGGGTAAGCAGATAAACATAAAATTTTCATTTTTGGGTGAACTGTCCCTTTAAGAAGAACATTTGCTCAGATTGTTTCCTTTTCTTCAGCCTTAAATAGGACATTTATGTTTAGGCTGGAATACAATATGCCAGTAAATCACTTTTAATTAGGATAAATGCCAGATTAGATTGCACCAATTGTTTTTTATTTTATTTTATGCTTTTTAATAACTGGCAGCTCATTAGCGGGCTTGTGAGCTCAGACTTTCAGTCCTTGTAATTAACACCAACTTTGTCAGCAGTGACTGACCTAGCTGGACACCTAGACCTTCATTTGAGACTGACTTGTAGGAGTTTCATTGGTTATTAGGGTTTAGGAGTTGGGGAGGTGACTCACAGTGAGGGACAAGGCTCAAAAGAGTGCTCTAATAGGTGACATCCCATCCGTCTAGCCCTTCCAAGGCCTGCAGGAAGATTAATGATGCTGAGATGGCCAAACAAGCTATCTGCATCTACATTAGTATTCTTGGGTGGCACAGGGCATTTAGCAGTCTTTCAGCACAGATGCCATGTCAATAGATTGATAAGACGAGAGACACAAGGACCCTAGAGTCTGCGGTCAGAGAGTGAGTTAACTGGGCTCATTACAAATATGGACAGTCAAGACCAGATACCAAACTCAGATAGTGATGACAGCCAAGTCAGTTGTATTACATCACATCTGTGAACTGGATGCACAATGATAATATTTCTGATGATTGAAATGCGATACATTTCATGGCACACAGAAAAGGTTTAATAGACCAAAGACCAGTATGATGTTTTTCAATATTATTATTAGTGGTGTTTTCTAAAAGGCAAGCATCACTTTTACTAATGCATTACTATTATTCTAATTACATTAAAAAAATAAAATTAAAAAAACACACTTAGAAACGCATCCCTAGAACATTTGGTTTTTATTTTTTTGTCCTGAACATAAGGTAGAAAAACTTTACAGTTGTGCTTTTCTGTACCATTAGGGCTAATATGCTATTGCTATAGCATGAGAAATATGTGAAATTAATTGCTAATTTGTTCCCCATCCCTGTCAGGAATCCCTGCTGTTAGTCAAAGCAGGTGACAGCTTGAACACATTTGTGCTGTCTGAGATCGACTTGAGGATGATGCCGATAAGGAATGACACATGCTATCCTTGTTCAAGGATGCTTTATGTACATGAGAGGGCATGCGCACATTCTGCACACCTATTTTGATAAGGTGAATCACAGTAGACTGGAGCGGAATGGGAACAGCTTGTGTTTGCCTTGTCATTGTTAATTAAGTGTAATTGTCATTGCCATTGTCATTCTTCCTATGATATAGAGTATTGTGCACTTTACTCTCAACCTGCCCAAAACTGAGATTTGTGCCTGCTTTGTTTTTAAGAGAGAGAGAGTGAAAGAGTAGTCCCATCACCAGCACTCTTTTAGGCTTCAGGTAATTTTCAGGAATGCACAGGCTAAAGGATCTTTAAACTGTCCCATGTTTTCAGCTAAACAATGACAACTGCCTACAGTATCTATTAAAGGGGTCATATGATGCTTTTTTAAAGATCATTTGGTGTAACAGAATATGCTGACATGCTTTAATGTTCAAAAAACACATTATTTTTCAAATACTGTACATTATTGTAGGTCCTCTATGCCCCGCCTCTCTCAAACGCTTCGTTTTCTACAAAGTCCCTCCTTCCGACAAGCGCAGTCTGCTCTGATTGGCCAGCTGACCCAGTGCATTGTGATTGGCCGAACACCGCAAGCAGTCGTCGGAAATGTAACGCCCCTTACCATAATCGCGAGCTTCATCTTTCAAAATAAATGTAAAGACAGAGCCTGAAAGGGGAAAAGAGTCGCGTGTCAGACACAGTGATGAAGCTGGTATGTGTGCAGTACACACGCCATGGTTAAGACAGCTGACTCCACTGTGATCTCTCTCTCTCTCTCT